GTTCACCAATTTCAAGTGTAAACACCAACTCATTGGTGTTTATTCTATTTCAAGATTTTGCAACTGCCACCACAAACAGTTGCAAAGCATTTCATCACCCCAGAAGGAAACTCCATGCTCATTAGTAGGTGCTCCCCATTTCCCTAAGACCCCTAAATCCCAGCCCTCAGCAGCCACTTTACCTGTTCTGCACAGTTCTTACTCAGGGTGGTGTTTTCAAGGCTGACCAGTGTGGCAGCACGTTTCTATGACCGAATCAGATTCTGTGATAGGGTAGACCACGCTTTCTTTATTTATTCATCAGTTCATGCAACTTTTGATTTGTTTCTACTTTGGAGCTAATATAAATGCTGCTGCTGTAATCATTTGTGTACATGTTTTTGTGTGGACAACAGTTTCCATTTCTCTTGGGCATTTCCCTAGAAGGAGAATTGCTGAGTCATATGGTAACTCTATGTTTAACCTTCTGAGGAACTGCCGCACTGTTTTCCAAATGGCTGCACCATTTCTCATTCCCATTAGTAATGTGTGAGGGTTCAACTGCTCTAGGTCCTCATGAACACTGGGTATCAGCTGTCTTTTTGATTATAGTCAGTCTAGTGAGTAGAAAGTGGTATCTGATTGTGGTTTTGATTTGTTTTTTTGCTGATAACTTATGATGTTCAACATCTTATCATCGGCATGTTGACCATTTCTCGTTCAGTCAGGTTTTCCTCTCCCCTCCCTGTACTTCTGGGTCAGCCACTGTGAGGTCACTGTCTTCTGTGGGTTGTCAATCACACCTGACTTTTTCAGCACATGAGTTCTCCTTCCTCCTCATAACCCTTTCTTTTGCATTCCTAGACCTAGAGATTATCTTCCCCTGCCTTCCTGTTTCTTCCTGTTTCTTCCTGTTCTTTATTGTCATCTCCTGTGGACATAGAAGTGCACCAGGGCTCGGTACTGGGCCACCTTCTCTTGTCTTGTCAGGTCCCCGTTAGTTAATTTCTCCTGGTTCTGCAGTTTTAAAAACTGGGCTCTGATAACTTAAATGAATCCCTCTGCCCCTGACCTCAGCCATGAGCTTCAGACCTGGGTATTCAGCTGTCTCTTGCCATTTCTGCATGGATGTCAAAGGCATCCATGTAATGTGTGACACGCACAACTCTATTTTGCCTCCCCAAAGCCACTCCTTCACTCTCTTCTATACCAGTCAGTGGCATCCCTACCACCAGGTTGCTCAGGCCACAGGCCTCTGTGTCTTCTTGATTCCAAGCTTCTTCCTCTCCCACCCCATGGCATCCACCCAGCCCAACAGTTAGACCCCTCAGAATACACCCAGCACTTCTCACCTGCTCTGCCTGGGATATTGCAGTAGTCCTCGCTGGTCTCCCTACCAACATCCCACAGCTGCCAGAGTGGTCTTTGGTGAAAAATAAAAAATAACTGGATTATAAAATATCGCATTCTGTACCCATATTCTGGGTTAAGTTACACAGTACCCAGTACTTGTGATGCCTTCCTAGCCCCCTCTTTGATTTTATCTACCTTCTTACCCTTCCAGAGGAATTTCTTGAATTTTTGTGTTCCTTCCTTTTCTGTATTGTGTTAGGCGATTTCTTGCTTAGTTTTGTGTACTTTCAACTTTAACTCAAAGCATTCATGCATAACTTACTCCTTTGCTCAAAATAATTTTTTTTTTAAGATTTATTTATTTATGCAGAACTGGGTACAGGCCAGAGGTGCTCGGGTGAGAGGACTTACCAGAGACAGAGTAGGGAGCAAAACAGGCCGATGTACTTAAATAAGCTGCTGCAGGGAGCAGCGGGTGGGTCAGGAAAGGTCTGCCACACCATGTGGGTCAACTCACTGGCGGGGGAATCAAACTTATGCTGCAGTGGCTGAGGTAGATTCATAATGTTGTGCTTTAACCTGTAGAGCCATTAGGGAGGGCCCTCAAAATAATGTTTTGATCATATCCATCGCTGGATATGATATCTCAAACTAGAGTTCTTCTCTTTTACAAGACATGAATGTGCCTCATTGTATCCTTTCTATTCTGAGGGGTATTTGGGTTGTTTGCTGTTTGCAGCTATTGCCAGATGCTTGGTGAACACCCTTGTGTGTCTTTTGGTGCATATGTTGGTATACACTTGGTTGCACCACCCTCCAGACTGCCTAAACTTGAAAAGATAGAAAGTATCGAGCCCATTGAGCAAACTGGACTCTCCTACTTTACTTGTGGGAGTGTAAAATGCTCCCCCACCACTTTGGAAAGCTCTCTCCTAATTTCTAGTAAAGTCAACCATACTCCTACCTGGTGACCCAGTGATTCCATTGCCAGGTATTTACACAGAGAGAAATGAGTGTGTGTTCACAAAAAGAGAAGTTCATGGCAGTGTAATTCCTAACAACCAGAAACTGGAAACAGCTCTCATGTTCAAACATGCAAAAGGACTGACCCCTGATAGACATGGAGCCCTGACCTTCCAGAACATGGGGGCTCTGAAGCAACCAGCCACACCACAGCATGTCCACGAGGACATCACATGTGTGGTGACCAGAACTCAAAAAAGTGGCAGAGCTATGGATATTGACAGGAAGGAGCTCAGGGGCTCTTCCTGAGGTGATGGAGATGCTCTGAATTTCATACTGATGGTTACACAGATGTAAACACATGAAAGTTTATAGCAAGCTTTGCCTTGGAAGAATTATTTTATTCTTTTTTTATTCATTTTATTTTTATTCATTTTATGATAGATGGATTTTAAACCTCAGTGAAAAAATAGATTATCCCAAGTCGGCGGCACAGGGGGATATTGACTGGAATAGTATTTCCAGCCCATTGTCAGGGTTCAAATTAAGTTGTAAATCTGCTTGTACAAGTGGCTGATTCCTGGTGTTTGCAATTTAGCCATTCTAAATATTCAACCTTTGAGTGAGAAAACACCAGTTCACACCCAGACCCTTGGAAGATTATAGTTATGGACAGGGAAGTCAGACAATGAGAAAGATTTTTTTTAAACTTCCTCTTAACAAAACACTGCTAGCAATCCTTGTGTCGGTCTTGGTTAAGTAATACCAAATTATCTCCCAAAGCACCATACCTGTTTCTTTTCCCATCCGGTGAATGTGTAATATTCTCAATACTCTGTCTTGTCCAACTCTAGGTATTATTAGCTTTAAAGCATTTACTCTAAGGGCTCATTTAAAAAAATATATATATATGTTTAATTTATGCATACAAGAACTGGGACATTGGTCAGAGGTACAGGGGGTGAGCGAGGATTCACCAGGGACAGAGTGGGGAGCAGAACAGGTGCTTCTAATGGGATATACTACTGAAGGGAGCATGTGGATTAGCTCCCTGGCTGGGGGTGGAAATCAGGCCACAGTGGCTGGCGATAGCTTGAAAACACTTAGACTTTAACCCCTGTGACCAGGTTGGCCCTCCAGGGGTTCATTTTAAAATACAAATACGGCCATGACCTTTTCCCTTCTGAACATTCCTGTCAGACTCATCATAAGTCCTGATCCCTTCTAGGCATCTGTGACTGGCCCTCATGCTTTCCCCTCCACACCCCCCTTCCTCACTGGCCCTCTCTCTGCTACTAGCAGGTCAGGCTAGCTCCTCCTGAAGCCCTTTGTGCTCCTTGTTCCCTGTCATGGCCCTGGAGCTCCCTGTTGTAGCACTCTGTGATGGCCATGCCCCGGTCCTCCTGACCCCGTGTGTCTCCCTCCATCTACCAGTGCTGACCTGTTAAATGTCTGATGACTGAGTAAGTGAGTCCTACCAACCAGGTGTCCCGGGAAGGTGGGCACTGATGCTGAAGAGTGCACACTCCCCATCCAGGGGTGCTCATGGGTATAACGGCTTAACGTGAGTGACCGGAGCAGCTGCAAAACTTTGCTTTCCCAATGTAATATCGTGCTGTTAGAATATGCAGGTTCCCTTCATGGGTGGCTTTGTGGTGTGGCTTGCATCCAAAAACTTGATTTGGCACGAATGGAGGGGATAGCTGAGGTTCTTGAACACAGAACCCAGGAGGCCTTCTCTGCAGCTTCTGGCAGTAGCCAGAGGACCCTGGAAGGGCTAGAACTTCCGGTGAGGGGCTGTGAGGTCCATGGCTGGGTCAGCAGGTTTGAAAGAGGAAATCGTGGGCAGGGGCAGGCAGCCAGGATTAAGAGAGACTTGCTGTGTGGGACCAGGCCCAGTGCTCCCCCTGAGCCTTGTCCTGGACCCTGGTCCAACTCCGTGTGCTGGCGTGAGTTCAGACTCCGTTCCTTAGGGCCAGGCTCCAGACTGCCCTGACAGTGCCCTCTTCTCTCTGCTCTTGTCAGCAGGGAGCATAGGGCCTCAGGCTCTCGGCACCCTGGACTCTGGCACAACCTGCAGAAGGTGGCAGTGGCCCAGAGTGGCTGGGCCTGCGCCCCACACACCTGCCTCCTAACACCCTCGGGCTCTCCCTGATGCCAGAACTGGAAGGATCTTGTTAATGGTTCACCAAGCTAAGCCAGGAATGCCTCATCTGTAATCCACCCCTGAGAGCTGAGGGCAAATCCAGAGGCCAAGACCCAGCCCATCCCTCTGGTCTCCTTAGGAGGGGCTTCTAAGGGTCAGAGGGTATAAGCAGGCCACGCTGGGGAGTCATATCCATGGTGCCCTGGAATCTTTTCTGGGACACTGTCTCTTAGGTTTCACTTAAAATTAACCTCACATAGTTCCTGGACTAGTAACTTTTTCAACCTGGTTTTGCAGTGACTTGCTGTTATGACTCTAGGGAAAATGCTCTTTGTTTACCTTCTGGCTAATAAGTGACATTGGTGGGCTAACCCTTGGGGACCCGGCAGCCAGGGAGGTAGGCAAGCACTGCTACCTGTGCATGGTTAGGGGGAGAGCCCTTTCTTTGGTCTCCTCTTCCTCTGGCTCTGCCCCTCTGGTACCTGGAGGCGGGACTTGGGGACAACCTGGGTACCTGTGTAATTTGCCTGCCCATTATTTTTCTCTTCTGCAATTTCAGGCTCAGGCTGCGGCAGCCGGGCGCCTGGTGAGTGCGAGGAAGCTGCCAGGGGATTACTGCCAGTGCCAGCTAACGGACGTCCGTGGGCCTCAGGGGCATGGGGGTAGGCAGAGCCACTTTCCCACCTGGACCAGCAGCACCAGGAAGGAGGCCTGGGCCCTGGTGTGGAGTTTGCCACAGGCTCGGCTGACCCAGATGGTCGTAGGAGCAGCACCCCGCTGAGTAGCAGCTGTGCACAGACCCTGGGGGAGCCCACAGCAGAAGCTCTGGAGCCCTCTACCCCACCTGCCTTGGGGCTGTGAAGGGGGCACCCCGGTGGAATCGGCGGGGAGAAGAATTTAACTTGAAGAGGCTCTGCGTTTCGGCAGTGGAGTTTTCTGACACCCACAGAGCTGCCTGGATTTTTCCTCTCAGGGTTGGGGCCTGGCCCCCCTCCCCTGGCAGAAGTGTTGAACCAGGAGGACCAAGCAAAGTGTGGACGACCCTTGCATGGAATCTAGGCAGCTTACAGCCCTTGTGCTCTCTGTTGTGATTGGGGTTTGTGGGCTTCCCCCCCTGTAGGGGACGAGGGGCTACCTCAGCGTCTGCTCATGAGCCACAAGGACCCCGACTGCTCCAGACTGGACCATTGCAAGCTGCCGAAGAGGGGGGCCTCCAGAGCTGGCAGCCAGCAGCCCCAAGGGACTAGAAGGCTCAGGTGGACTGACCTCCCCCTTGCCAGGGTAGCAGGAGAAGCAGAGCATCTGTGGCCCAGCTAATGACGGAGATTCCCGGTGAAGCCATAGCAGGGGCCTGAGTGACTCGGGGCCCAGGAACCCCTCCTGCCAACGTGCTTTCTTCTCGCCTTGAAGGAGGCTGTGGTGTCGGACCCCTGTTGCTGGCCCCTCCACGGCACGTGCCCTTATGCCCTTTGCACGAGGAGCCAGAGCAGGCAGGCTACGCCGTGGCTGGCCGGTCAGCTGGCTGGGAGAGGAGCAGCCACGGTGACACCCACCTGCCCAGTGGGCTGGTGGTCCAGCCCCCAGCACATCGCACCATGAAGTGCTCCCTGCGGGTGTGGTTTCTCTCTGTGGCCTTCCTGCTGGTGTTCATCATGTCACTGCTCTTCACCTACTCCCACCACAGCATGGCCACCCTGCCCTACCTTGACTCGGGGGCCCTGGGTGGCACCCACCGGGTGAAGCTGGTGCCCGGCTATGCTGGCCTGCAGCGTCTCAGTAAGGAGGGGCTTGCTGGCAAGAGCTGTGCCTGCCGCCGCTGCATGGGTGACTCTGGCGCCTCCGACTGGTTTGACAGCCATTTCGACAGCAACATTTCCCCTGTCTGGACCCGAGAGAACATGGACCTGCCCCCGGATGTTCAGAGGTGGTGGATGGTGAGAGCCATAGCCCCTCCTGCCTTCCCTTTGCTGCCCCCATCGGGGGTCTGCGCCTCCCATTTGAACCCCCTGACAGCCTGGGGTCCTGGAAGGGGTGTGCTGTTGCTTACTGCTTTCATTTTATGGAGAAAGTCAAGGTTCTTAGAGGTCCCTCTTGGAAGTGGATTGTCTCCTGGCCCCCAGAGCCTTGACAAAATGTGAGGCCCATTTGATCAGAGCTATTAAAGTCGCAGATGCTGAAGGGCATAAACTCCTATTTTCTAGAGCCCACAGGTGCCACAGTTAGACCACAAATGCCCCTGCGCCAGGTAGCATAGATGAGAAAAGTGAGCACAAGGAGAGGGTGGCAAGAGAGGGGGAGCCCGGCTGCCAGGAGAAAGCCTGCTCTTCCACCAGGGCAGCCCTCTCAGCCCAGGGTTTGCTGAAGCCACGTCACTGCTGGATCTTCAGACCGTGCGGGCCAGAGTTTTTGGCTGGGTATTCTAATTTGTAAGCATTGGCTCTTAGTAGATTTAAACACCAGGAGGGCCACTCACTAGGCTTTTTTTTTTTTTTTTTAAAGATTTATTTATTTGTGCTTACAGAACTGGGGTATAGGCCAGAGGCTCAGGGGTGGCGAGAGGCTTCACCAGAGACAGAGTGGGGAGCAGAACAGGCAGATCGACGAAGCACACTGCTGAGGGGAGCAGCAGGCGGGTCAGGAGAGGTCTGCCGCGCCCTGTGGTCACCTATGGGGCAGGCGGGAATCGAACTCATGCGGAAGCGGCTTTAGCTTGTCAGTGCTGTGCTTCAACCCGCTGCGCCACCAGGGAGGACCCTCACTAGGCTTTTACTGTCAGAAAAGACTTTCTTCAGAGCTGCAATATGAAAGGTTTGTCTGCTCCTCTTGGGGCATGAGATGAAGGAGGTGGCTTCTGACCACAGTTTTCTGAATCCTGTTGGCATTCTGCTGCTCTTAACTCACTTCCCCTCACGCTGTCATTCCTGGGGCCTCACTCTCCAGGCACTGCCCTTGCCATCTGTTTGCCACATGTATGGGGGTGGAGCAGCATCAGTCCCTAACCCAGGGGCCCACAGGCTGCCTGCATTCCCTGCGGGCGTGGGGGTTTGGGGGGCTCTGGAGGCAGCTCTTGCTCACTGGTTTCCCCGAGTTGCAAATGGAGAAGAGGATGACTCTCCCTTTTTCTCACCTGCAGAGAAGCTGGAGGATGAACTCATACAAGTAGGCTTTTCCACAACAAGGCACAGAGCTGGCTCAAACTGTCAGTGTCCCCAAGGATGGAGAGGTCTACAGAGCAGGGGTCATAGGGAACCCACAGGCCCTTCCAATGACAGCCTGGGTCCTGGGGTCATTGCTGTTGCTCATAGTCCCCATCCTCATTTTATGGAGACAGTCAAGGTTCAGATTGAGCACAGGGCTTGGCCAAAGTCACAGCTCCTGGACGGGGCCACCAAGGGCCAGAGTGGACCTCTGGGAAGGCAAACACATCAACAGGACATGGAACTCAGGCTTGTTCAGGCACTAAGCATGCCCCGCCGCCAAGGTGCACAGAGGCCTCTTCTCCCTGTCACCAGCTTGACACCCCTTTGCCATGAACTTAGAAAATCTCTTCTCACAGCTGAGCTCCCTCTCCCACTGTCCTGTTCTTATGCCAGACTCCCTCCCTGTGCTAAGAGAAGAGGTGAGAAGCAGACCCCCCCCCCCCACACACACACATATTCAGTTCCCCAGGCAGCATTTCCTGCTCAGCCACAAACCTTTCTTCCCTTGCTCAGACTGCAGAGCACTTTATACGTCTGGCTTTGACCTTACTGACTGGTGGCCTGTGGGCAACACTAGCCCACTCAGTATTTTCAGACAGTTAAGAATCAGGATATTTAACATGAAATCCATGTATTCATTTCTCTTGAAAAATCGGAAATTTTGGTCTTTTGGACTCAGTCTCACTGGCAACAATTGTCTGGCATTCCCCCTTGTTGACGGGCACTCCTGTTTGCTGAGATCCCACCTGCCACACTTACTCCTGTGTGTCACCTGCCTGATCCCCAGGGGTTTGGGTGCCAACTCACATGTTGACCTTTACAGGTTACTGTTGGTGGCAGGTGCAAGGGATCAGTTTCATTTCAGCCATTCTGGCCAGGAAAGCATTTTCATGCTCTGGGAGTGGCTCTAGGAGTCTCTAGAATATTCTAGATGTGGCTGCTGTGACCCGGAGCACTCAGGCTGAGTCCCAGGGGCGCCCCCCTGTGGGCTGGTTGGGAAGGAGCCTAGCAGGGCTTTCCAAGTTACCTACACTCAAAATCATGTCCTTATGTGATACTGAGCTGCCCTGAGGGGGGGTAATGGCCGGCTGGCTTCTTCTACATGACAATCCAGGGAGTCTCTGCTTTGTGACATAGGCCCACAAAGGTCTCTGGAGAATGGGGGAAGAGCCCCTCTAACCCCTGCGTCCCTCCAGGTGCATCAGAGCTTCTCCGGATTAGCAGCCCACGGAGTCTGTAAGAGAGCTAGTTGCTGAGAGAGGGGAGGGTCCCCACTGCCAGAGCAAATTCCAGCTGGATTAGGAGTCCTATATGTCACTTGAACACTGAAAGTATGGGCGGGGAGGGGAGACAGACGGGAACCCCCTTCCTCCTCATCCCCTTCCCTACCCCTCACCCCTCCCACTGTCTTCTCCCTGCCCCTCCACAGATGCTACAGCCCCAGTTCAAGTCACACAACACCAACGAAGTGCTGGAGAAGCTGTTCCAGATAGTACCAGGCGAAAACCCCTACCGTTTCCGTGATCCCCAGCAGTGCCGACGCTGTGCCGTGGTGGGGAACTCAGGCAACCTTCGGGGTTCAGGCTACGGCCCAGATGTGGATGGGCACAACTTCATCATGAGGTGAGTCTGTTACGGGGTAGCCCAGAGGGAACTGGGCCGTCTGTCTGTGGGGCCTCACCCCCGCTTAAAATGTAATTTTCTGCAGGCACACACAGAAAGGGTAATGGATTTATTTACAAAAAGGGGAAAGGAAAAGGAACAACCTAGGGGGAGAGAGAGGGATACAAAGTTAACTGGAATATTTCACCAGCTGGGCCAACTTGGAGCTCTAGTCACAAACGAACACTGCTAGCCCCCCAGTCACATGCTCTAGAGAGAGAGAGAGAGAGAGCCCCAAAGTGACCTCTCCAAAGTGACAGTTGAAAACTGCTCTCTATTTATCCCCCAAAGTCCCAGAATGCCTGCTTAGCTCTGCCCTTGGGTCCTTGAGGTTCTCTCCTTGGTACTGCTGGGAGTTGTAGTTTTCTAATCACTGGAGTAGGGGGTGGAATCCAGAAAGTTGGAGTAGGGGGTGGAGTCCTCAAAACTCTGCAGAGTTCCTTTAGGACATCCTCCCCTTAACAAGTCCAGGGACAGGTCTCCAGGAAGGGGACTTGGTCTTGTCTGGCAGCAAAGAGTTGTGGGCCTCTGATAACCAGAATCTTCTATAACAGACACTCACCTTTGTGGGGTAGATAGTGAGGCTGTTTCTCGTTCTTAATCCCTTTGAAAGAAATGGAACTAGACTCTTGGCTGGTATCTGGTGAAAACTCCCACCAGAGCTCCCTTCCATGCCCCACCTCCCCCAATAGTCAGCCCATGTGGAGAGTACCAAAGTAAAGGTCTTCCTTAAGAACCACAGGTGATTTCCTTGTAATGGACTCATGGAAAATAAGTGTCCTGAGCAGACCTACCTGACCTACCTGCTGCTTGCCCTGGCTGTTGCCCCTTAATTTTATCTCCCAAGATTTAGATAGTGGGGAGTTGTTCACTCAGCAGACATCTGTGCCCAGCCGCAGGACAGCAGAGGCGTTGGGAGGATATCCACTCCTGACAAAGACATGGAGCCAGGGGCCTGGGGGTGACCAGGGACCAGACTTGTGACCTGAACGTAGGTCTGAACCTTTGTGTTTCCTGACTTACCCCCTAGACTTGGGGACAGGAAATACTATACTCTCCCTTGTTGGCGGAAGTACCTTAAGAATAAAGATACTGAAAGTACCCCAGTTTTCAGTAAGCATCTTTTAAGATGAGCGTTGCAGAAAGACCAGGTTTCCCAGGAGGCAGAAGGAAGGGCTTTGTCTTAGAAACTATTGCTGTCTCCATAGCAACACTAAGGCAGCACTAAGTCTGTGAGGCTTTCAACATTCCTTGCAATACCTTTTTCATGTTGATAGTGGTGGGGGGTGGGAGAGGAGAATACTTGGCCCCATCCAGGAATCCAGAGCGCCCTGAAGTTATGTCTGTAATTTCTGACACCCAGAATACAAGGGAGGCAATCTGGAGAGGAGCCCTCTTCCCCCAAAGAGTGTCTGAGATTGGGGAATAAGGCATCCATCACTCCAGTGCAGCCCTGGGACACTTGGGATGCCCAGGGAAAGGCTCTTGAGTACGCAAATCTCAGCCTTTCCTGCCCTGCCACTTGCATCTCGCAGTGGATGGGAAGCTTCAGGGCGGAGGCACAGTGGTCCAGAAGGACTGGCTGGTGGCTAGTGGTTAAGTCTCAGTGCTACCACTGGAAAGGCCCGCTGCAATGGCTTGAGTTCAGTCCCCAGCCAGGGAGCTGACCCCCATGGTGCGGCAGACCTCTCCTGTCTCACCCGCTTCTCCCCTCAGCAGTGTTTCAATCTGCCTGTTCTACTCCCCACTCTGTTTGATGAATCTTTTACTCCCTACACATCTGACTGGAACCCAAGTTCTTCTACGCAAAAATAAATAAAATCTTAGCAAAAGAATAAAAGACTGGCTGCTGTGCCACCTGGACAAGCCAGGCTGTGTAAAGCATTTCACAGATGTTTCCTCATAGGGACCAAGCTAGGACCTGTGGTGCTTCCAAAATCACTTTTTGGAAGAAGTGACCCAGGTAACTGACTGCTGATCCTTATAAGGAGCCAGGCAGCAGTGGAGATGGCTCTTGGCTTATGGCTTCTTGGTTTGGAACCAAAGTGAGATCTCCTTTCCTGGAAGCAGGACTCAGCTACAGCCCCATTAAGTGGATTGAGATGAGTCACAGTAAGATGGTAGTGTGACCCACCCACCCCTACCTGCAGCTGCTTCCTCCTCCTCTATGTTCTTGAGACCTGCTGGAGGCAAGCTGGTCCTGCCTCATATCACCTCCATAAAGAGCTGACTGCGAGGACAGTGCCTTGCAGATTGCAACCTCATAAGTATACGAGTGAATGAAAAGGGTGAGGCCACCAGATGCCAAGCCCTAGCCTGAGTGTACATTCACCTGCCCCAGGTACTTCTTTAGTGAGCGGAAGCAGCCAGGAACAGATAAAATTCTAGAATGCTTTCCCTCAGAATCACAGAGATCCACCGTATCTCCTCCATCTTGCTTTAGACTCTTTCCAGAGTTTGGCTTCTCTAAAATGAGAATCAGAACAAAATCCTGATTCCCTAAAGCATGCGACAGCCCTTCCCTTTGCCGAAGAGGCTATCAGACAGCTTTTTTGAACCCCTTACTACATTCTTCCTAGGCTCTGAAAAGCCCAGCGTGCAGGAGGGTCCTGACGGAGAGACTGCAGCAGGGCTGACCAAGGGTGGGCGATCCTGGCGACGGGCCAAAGAAGGACGTTTGTGGAGGCGCTGGCTGCTGAGTCAGTGGAAAAGGCAGATGTGGGGTGTACAGAAACCAGGGGCCGTAGCTGCCTATTGATTTGTGGAACCAACTAGGCCTCTCAAGCTAGGGTGAGAAGAGGTGTCGGTGTTGGGTCTTCACAAGAGTGAACCTTTGAACCCAGCTCTTGGTGAGTCTAGACTCCAGCCAGCTTGAATACCAGCAACCATGCCACCTGCTCCTGCTACTCATTTCCACACCCCAAGCAGAGAAGAAACATCATCCTTGTTAAGACTTCCCCTCAAACCTGCTCTGTTCCTCATAGTTCTCTTCTGCCACAGACAGCAGGTGTTCAAAAAATATATTACAAAGAAATAGATGCACCTCTCTGGTGGCTCAAGGGGTAAGGTGTTTTTTCTCTGCTTGGGGTGTGGAAATGAGTAGCAGGAGCATAAATAAATTTTTTTATTTATATGCATAAATAAATTTTTTTAAAAAAATAAAAAGAAGTGGGATACCTCACACCACTTGGGCTTATTTTGTATTAACATATGTAAATCTACTTAATTCTGATGTCTCCATGGTAGTCCATTATTAGAATGTGCCAAAATATATTAGCTAGTTCTTTATTGAGATGTATTGTGATTTATGCACCTGTTACAAGTTACACTGTGGTGAATATTGTTGTATACCTGTCTGCTCACTTATACAACCATTTTTATAGGATCAATTTCTAGAAATGGAATTGCTGCGTCAGGTGAATTGCTGGTTTGGCACCAAACAGTCCTCTTAAATTCTACCAGTTTCCGTGGCAGTTTCTTATGTTGCTTCTTGTCCCTGCAGGATGAATCAGGCACCAACTGTGGGCTTTGAGCAAGATGTGGGCAGCCGAACCACCCACCATTTCATGTACCCTGAGAGTGCCAAGAACCTGCCCGCCAATGTCAGTTTCGTGTTGGTGCCCTTCAAGGCCCTAGACCTGCTGTGGATTGCCAGCGCCCTGTCCACAGGGCAGATCCGATTGTGAGCACTGCCCCCACAGGGAGTAGAATATGGGTGATAGAGCCATGTTGGGATGAGTCCTCCTGGGAGCTGGATCATAGAATTCCATTAGCTTGATGTTTTGGCCAAGAAGGGCTGGTGAAGAGGAAGAGGAACAGACCAAATAGTCTGTTAGATGAGGGCACAGCCTGTTCTGTTTCACTTCCTTCATGGGGACAACCAGCATACTGGTGACTAAAAGGACACTGATTTGCCCAGGATGTGACTCTCAGAAGAGAGAACTTTCTTTGGGGTAGTTGCCCTATAACAGCTGGGAGCCACAGAATTTTTTTTTTTTTAAGATTTATTTATTTGTGCATAGAGAACTGGGGTACAGGCCAGAGACTCAGGGGTGGTGAAAGACTTCACCAGAGACAGAGTGGGGAGCAGAACAGGCAGATCGAGGAGGTACACTGCTGAGGGGAGCAGCGGGTAGGCCAGGAGAGGTCTGCCACACCATGTGGTCTCCTCCAGGGCAGGCGGGAATCGAACTCATGCGGAAGTGGCTTTAGATTCTCAGTGCAGTGCTTTAACCCGCTGCGCCACCAGGGAGGGCCCCCAGAATATTTTTTTAAGGTGCTTTTTATTATCATTTGTTTAGAAGAACTGGGGTATAGGCCAGAACTGGGGTGGGGAAAGGATTCACCAGAGACAGAGTAGGGAGCAGAACAGACAAGTTTACTGAAATACACTGCTAAGGGGAGCAGTGGGTGAGAAGGTGAGTTTTTGTGGATTAGCTCTCTGGCTGGGGGATCTAGCTCAGGCCAGAGCAGTGATAGCGCTGAGACTTAACCCTTAGACCACCGAGAGCCTGCCACAGGAAATATACCAGTAATTCACACACTTAAAATGTACGATACTGCGACTTTTAGTATTTTCACAGTTGTGTAACCATCACGGCAATTAATTTTAGAAAATTTTTATATTCTAAACTTGAAGTCTTTTTTCCTAAAGAGAATGATACCCCTGTGTCCCGTAGCCTTCACCTCCAACTCTTCCACCCCAAGGAGGAAGGGGTGGGGAGAGAGAGAGAGAGAGAGAGAGAGAGAGAGAGAGAGAGAGAGAGAGAGAGAGAGAGAGAGAGAGAAAATAACACAGTTACCATAGTGGAGTCATTAAGTGCATTCACATTATTGTGTAACTATCACCACTCCCTAGGGCCTAAACTTTTCAACATCTTAGATGGAAACTTTGTACCATTAAATAATAGCTCCGCAGCAGTCTTCATTCCCCTATTTCCTCCATTTCCTGCTCTGTCTCTCTGATTTGACATTATTTGGTACTTTCTATAATCTGTGTACAGTCTTACATTGACCTTTTTTTCATCAAGCTTCTTTAACTTAAAATATCTTCAAGGTTCACTCATGTTGTAGCATGAGTGGCTATCCTGTTTTGTGTAACCATTCATCATCCATCAGTGGAAAAATAGGTTGTTTCTACTATTTGCTTATTGTCACCATGTATTATTAAACACAAGTGTGATTTCCTGACTATGTCTTTGGGAGACATAAAATCTAAAATAATTGCTGTAGAGTTCAAGTTTCATAAACACTCAGAGAAGGTAGTATACATAATAGGCACCATGTTTGTCTAGTGAGAAGCTGTTGCCAGCCACTGTGGCCTGCGTTCCATCCCCAGCCAGGGGGGGTGCCCCACATGGCACAACAGACCTCTCCAGTCCCTCCTGCTGCTTCCCTCAGCAGTGTTATTTCAGTAGATCTGCCTGTTCTGCTCCTCACTCTGTCTCTGGTGAATGCTCTCACTCCTGCTCTCTGGCCCACACTCCAGTTCTTGTATGCGTAACAAAAATCTTGAAATAAAAAGTTGGGGCTAGATTATGGAATGTCCCGATACTTGCTTTATTTTATCTTGAAGGACGTAGGTAGCCATTGAAGATTTATGAGTGAGGCAGTGAATTGATGTGTGTCTATAGTCTGGAAGAAGGAGGCCCTGTTGTGAATCTGTCTCCGCTCAACCTGAACTGGAGGAACCACCCTCTAAATGTGTTTTTCTGTCTGCTTGCAGCACCTATGCTCCAGTGAAGTCCTTCCTTCGAGTGGACAAAGAAAAAGTAAGCAACACCCTCCTCCCCTTCTTCACCCCCATCTTTAGAATAAACAGCAGACTCTTGGTGTCCCTGTTCCTGTGATTCACTTGGTCCCCAGTGCCCTTCCAGAAATTTCAGAGTCACCATCTGCTGCTAATCCAGACCCACACAGGGGCCACAGGAACCAGGGAACCCAGGTTCCCTGGTAAGCAGAGGAACAAGCAGAACCTGCTCAGATCTCAGCCTGAGTCTCCACGCTCCCAAAGTTCCTCATGAATCATCTCTTCTATTTTCTCTTCACAGGTCCAGATCTACAACCCAGCCTTCTTCAAGTACATCCATGACAGGTGGACAGAGCATCACGGACGGTACCCTTCCACAGGGATGCTAGTGCTCTTCTTTGCCCTGCATGTGTGCGATGAGGTGGGTGACCCTATCTGGGGCTAAGAGTTGGACTTGTGCAACAGAGGGCACGCAACCCTTCTCTGGCTCAGCAGTGTTCAAGAGGAGTGTGATTTTATAAACATAACCAAACAACTTTGAGTTCCATTCTAGGTTGTGAAGTATAGACTTGCATTTCTCAAACCCAGCCTGAAATCACTCCATTGAAAACTTAAATTTTTTTTTAAAAGGCAACAAAATACTAGTACCCTAATTGTATTATTTGCCATAAAGAAAAAGTAACCATAAACCAATGGAGTGGAAACAATGTAAAGTATCAGCAGGCTGGGTTATGCCCTGGCCCCAGGGCTTCCTATAGTTCTAAAGTTTGAAACTGGAGCACATATCTGAGCAAGCCGGGCTACTGTGCCTTGTACATCAGTGCTCGTGCCCAGCACACCCACTTTTGCCAGTAAGTTATTCAGGACACGGTGTTGATATTTGGCCAACTTTCAAATGTAAGTCCATCTATTCCTCCCCTCCCACCCCCACCACACACACATTATTAAGGTTGTTTTAAACTGTCAGAGACATCACCAAAGTGGGACATTGATGACGAAAGCGCCAGGCCCAGGTGTCCCCTGTCTTCCTGGGTGCCACCGCCCCTACTCCCCGCGCCTCGATCCACGATCCGAGGCTTTCTCGTGCCAGTCTCCACGGTCCTCGCTCTGACGTGATCTGCGCCGTTCTTCTCTGCAGGTGAACGTGTACGGATTCGGGGCCGACAGCCGAGGCAACTGGCACCACTACTGGGAGAATAACCGCTACGCGGGCGAGTTCCGGAAGACTGGTGTGCACGACGCCGACTTCGAAGCCCACATCATCGACATGCTGGCCCAGGCCAGCAAGATCGAGGTCTACCGAGGCAACTGAGCCTGGCCCTTCGGCGAACCTTCCGGTCCGGCCCCGAGGCGCGCTCTCGGCTCGGATTCTGGGCCAGCCCAGGGCCACGGCGGTGAGAATCCCCAGGCCTTCGGCTGCCATCTAGACCAGTCATGCTGCAGCCCAGCGACCCCGCTGGTCCCCGCCAGTCAAGGAACTCTGGGGACCGGTCCGACTTGGCACCAATCAGCGCCGCGGCCGGGCGGGGCTTCTCTTTCCCAACCAATCATGCGTCTCAAGGAGAACTTCCGGCGCGGGACTCCGTCTCCTCCAATCGTTGGCCTTCGGAGGCGGGGCAGCGGCCGATCTAGCCCCACTTCCTGTGCTTTGGGATGGGACTTTATTTCTTGTTCTTTTAAGGATTAGAGGTTGGTTCCGGCCCGGCTGAAGTCCTCACCACGGGAGAGTGGCGGACGCCAGCCGGGCTGACCCCCCGGGGCGCCCAGGAGGAAACGGAGATGGCGGCACGGGGTGGCAGCGGTTCGGCTTCCCCTTCCCCACGTCGCCTCGGGGTGGGCGGAGGGGCGATCGCCAGCCTCTTTAGTGGTCGACGGTGTGGGTGGTCGTGGGAGGCCCCAAGGAGCGCGCGTACGCTCCCAGGGAAAAGCCAGGCTCCAGGGAGACATCAGGCCCCACGTTTCCTTCATCGGTCAGGCTCAGATGGGTGAGTGTAAACCCACCAAAGAAATGCAGTGAGAATCCAGAGGGTGCGTGGGTCCCCTCCTCCCACTCCCCGCCTTGGGCCACCCTATGGAATGGCCTTTCTCACTAGGGCATTTAGTCTCACCAGAAAGCTAGAATTGTATTCACCCCTTGCTTGGGGGCGGAATTCTAGGGCCTAACTCTGGAAAAATAGGTGTAAGGAGCAGGGCAGGAGTCGGGGAAGCCCCCCTCACTTCTGCTGTAAGGTGCTTCTCACGCAAGTGTACCCTTGCCCGTGCTGTTCATCACAACCTTTCACTGACTATGGCCCTGGGCCTCCTCACCAGCCTATTTGTTGCTCTGGAAAAAAAAATTTAAACTTGCCCTGGGATTTGGGGCACTGCTGCTTTCTGTCTCTCACACACAAACACACACACGCCCTACACCGTTAGCTGCCCTCTCTAAGGAGAGGGAGCAACATGTAGGAAACAAGATTGGAGGGAGGACCCTGGCTTCCTGGTGCATGCACCTTCTTCCTTCATCCATGACCCCAAAGAGGAGTAGGAAACCTCTTGCTTGGGGGTGGAATTTGCTTTGAGCTCATAATTTAGTTAACCTGAAGCTACCAGGTATGGCTGATCAACAAAGATTCTTTAAAACTCCAAGCTGGCCATGCAAGTAATGGGGAACCTAGCTGGGGAGGAGTAGACTTGCCCCCCCTGCATGCCTTCTCCCCTGCCCATTTGAGTCTCCTCTCCCTTGCTCCCCTCCTGTCTTCCTCTCACCCACTTACGTTCCAGCTCTAGAAAGCTGGGAAATGAATAACCAGGGGGGTACAACTAACTGGAAACATCTGTGTGACAGAACCTAGCCTGAGTCCCTAGAGGAAGATGCTGGGGGTATTCTCATCCTTAAAGGTAGGGGAAGTTTAGGAGGGGAAAAGGGGCTTCTGTGAAGCTTCCAGATCTCTGAAAGTACTCCCTTTGATGAACACGGATACCACTCTTTTTTCCTTGGTGAATTGACACCACCAACAGACAGTCTCTGGCCTTTGGTATCGTTCCTGCAGCTGGCTGGGGGAACAGTAACCAGCAGCTAGTATGTTAGAAAGGGTGGGGGAGGGGCAGTGGACACCCCTAAAATTAATATATTGAGAACTTAGTTTGAATCTGTTCTTTCCCAATTCCAGAAGCAGGAATAAAGAATTGGAGTGGGTAGGAGTCCATTTCTTGGGCCTCCCCCCACCATTTTAGCATCAAGGCACCAGCCATTCTTGCTAGTCTCATCTCAGTGCTTCCTAAAGAGGCTGTTTTGAGTGTTAGGAAGATGAAAAAAAAAAAAAAAAAGCAACAATGCAATTATGCCAAACAGTATTGAGCAGAATAATTTATTTCTTTTGTCTTTTTGTTTGGTTTGCTTTAAACCATTAATAAATTCCCATTCTGGAAGAGGTAGGTCCTAGCATCCAGTCCAGATCTCCTTTTCTTGCAAGTTATTGAAACAAAACATTTTTTTAATTATCTTCCCTTTCTCTTTCTGAATTAAAAAAAAAAAAAAAACAGAAAAATAAAAAAAAGACCATATAGTTATTTGTTCTGAAGTGGGTACTGTGGTGGGAAGAAGGTGGATCCGCTAATAGGGGGGCCATGACAGAAATGGCTAAGAATGCTGGGGAGGTGAAGAGGGCTGGGGATGACTCACCAACACCCTCCCATCTGTCAAGAGTTTAGGTCCACCGACCCTGTTCCCTGAAGCCCCAAACAGATCTGAGGGATTGCAGGTCTTTTCTTCAAGCAACTCAACGTCTTTTCATTTTTCTCCAAAAGAGGAATGAATTGGAACTGAAAGCAACTTCCCAGGCAGCTGTGTGTAGAGACAGAAGAAGTGGTGAGGACCTGCAGTTTCCCCATTATCTTGCAGTTTCCCCATTATCTTTTCCAAACAGCTAAGGAAGAGGTAGAGGTGGGGAGGAAGCAGGCAAAGCTGTTGGCCCCTTTCCCTAGACTCTGAAGTAGTCCCAGCTTTGGTGATGTCAACAGGCCAAGGGAGCTGCCTCCTGCCCCTGGGGTGGTGCTGCCTGTGGACAAAGGCTTCCTCCCGAGGTTATTACAGGGGAACTGGACAAGGGGTGTGAGGGTTGTGGGAAGAAGCAATACATGCTCATTCCCTGAGGCCAGGCCCCTTGCTCAGGCTCTGAGGGGATTAGGGATTAGTAGTTACCCTCTGATTCCAGAGGATGGGGACGGGGCCTGGTGGAGTGGGGGCTGACTTTGGAGTTGGGAAACAAAAGAGGCTGTGCATCCTCAGAGGCAATTGCTGCAATTGCCTAGAGCTTCACTGTGCTTCTCAGTGATACTCAGGAGGCTCTGTATGGGCAGGCACTATAGAATGGCACAGTGACCACCCATCCTCATGGCAGGGGCTGGTTGGCCAGGTTGAAGGAGAGGAAAAGGTGACACAGTATAAAGCACACCAAAGGAACCAGAGTCCCTACCACTTTCCCTGTGCTCTCTGAAGAACACACTGCTGTTATTTCATCTAAAAAACTCCATATTTGAGGTTTCTTCACAAAAGAGATTTTACTCTAATTTTAAAAAATTTATTTTTACAAAGAAGAACTGGGATATAGGCCAGAGGTGGGGAGTGAGAGGATTCACCAGAGATAAAGTGGGGAACAGAACAGGTGGATCTACTGAAGTACACTGCTGAGTGGAGCAGCAGGTGGGTCAGGAGAGGTCTGCTGTGCCCTGTGGGTCACCTCCTTGGTTGGGATCAAACTCATACTGTTGCGATGGGCTGTCCAGTGGTAGTGCTGAGACTTAACCTCTGGACCACCAGGAAGGACCCTTTATTGTAATTCTGAAGTCATCTTGGAGATCCTTTATACCATTAGCCCAATTCACAGGCCCCTTTAACAACATTGGTGAGCAAACCCCTCCACCCCAGCTATGTCCTTAGAGGATGGTCCTTCACCATCTTTCATGGTTCCTGGGCCAGCAGCTGAAACTGTTCACTGACAGGGACCAGCACGCCTCAGAATGGGATTTCTCCTCTGTTTCCAGGTACTGTGGAAATTCCCCAGAATGTCACATTTTGGGGTTGGCAATAAATCAGCAGAATGATAGGAGTTAGTGACACAGACATCTATGACGCCTCACCTGCCATGCCCTGTCCTTGTGTTTTCTGGATGCACTTGAGCCTACTGGACTCCTGCTGTGAAAAGCAGATTTGATAGTTGGGGGATCAGACAGTATAGATCCCACAACAGGTAACACAGTCACTTAAAAGAGTCCATGATCACTTAGTGTCTCAAGATTTAGTCTTTGTTTATGCCCAGGAGCTGCTTTTCAAATAGAGAATACTATTTGGTAAAAGAGGGCATTGGTGTTTTTTCAAAGCCTCAGATTCAGCTCTCATTCTCTAACCCAGAGTTGTCAGGGATGCCACAGCATGTCTCTGCCTCAGACTCTCCAGTAGCGTTCGGCCACCTGAATCATAAGGTGAGTGGCAGGAGGGCAGGCACACAGCCTGAACTGCTCATGACCATTCTGCTCAAAGCCCCATTCAGAGCTGGTTGCCTTGAGGGTCACCATCGTTGGTAGAATCTTATACGTGTTGACATGTTGAGTGTTATACCCAGTGATTGAATGTTACACTTCTTTAAAGTCACAAGGCCCACCAAATCTTGTGTCTTGTTTTTCATGTTGGCCAAAGACTATTGCTTTGACCCAGCAAAGATGCAAGCCACAGCTGCAAACTACAGGTTGGGATCACTACCTGATTGCATTTGCAGGAATTACTGTCATGCTGCATGACTCAGTGGTGAGTAAATGGAACCAGAAAGCAATAACACAGACACCCACCACCACACCACCAACCCCTCTCACCCCGAAGAACCAGGTTTGTTGACAGCACCAGTCTACAAATCCTCCCGGAATGTGATGTAGGCCCTTGACTTACTGTCTTAGAGGAGGCAGGTCCTGGGACTTCTGTTAGGCCCGTCTCATCACGGTAACCCTCACTCTATAGGTCACGTTGCCCATGTGGAAATTTTACCAGGGAGTAGATTTCTGAGGCCAAGGAAATTACCTTAAAGTGGTTTCACCAGACCTGGCAATAAATGGACCAGAGAGTTCCATCTGTCATTTGCCATAATAAGATCTGACTCTAACTAGTGAATCCTATTCATTCAAGTCTCAGAGCCAGTCTTTGGTAAGTCTTGGAGGCTCTGTGTATTTACTTCTTCCTTGTGCGCTATAACTCTGTGGAGCAAATCTAGATTCATGCTACATGTCAAAGTTGTCAGAAAACCTTCTACTCTTCACAGTATCCTGGGGTACCGTTAAAAAAAAAGCCTCCTGGAATGTTATCTGAATTAAGCAGTGCCAGTAAGAGGTGCTCAGTTTCACCTCTAGAGACCACAATGATCAGTTAACTATTTTTCCAGATCCTTGTAGGTCAGAGCTCTAACTGTCTCCCTTATCTCAGAGTGGTAGGTATGTCTTTAGCCTATTTCAATTCCAGTATTCTCTGACTAGAGATGACAGCCATGCGGAAATGCCCATCACTAACACATTCTTTTAAATAAAAGTTTTAAAACCCATTTCTGTTACAGAATACAATGCATATACAGAAAAGATCATAAAAATTAATGTACAATATGTATGGGTTATTGAAGTTTTATGTTTGTTGTTTTTTTTTTGCATAGAAGAACTGGGGTACAGGCCAAAGGTGCAGAGGTGAGAGGATTCACCAGAGACAGAGTGAGGAGCTAAATAGGCAGATCTACTGAAATACACTGCTGAGGGGAGCAGTGGGTGGGACAGGAGAGGTCTGCTGTACCGTGTGGGTCAGCTCACTGGCTGGGGATCAAACCCATGCTTCATTGGCGATAGCTTCATAGTGCTGAGATGTAACTTCTTGCACCACTAGGGAGGCCCCCATTTTTAAGTAAAACTTGTTTGATAAAACAAAGATATGAATGAATACACAGACACATATATTTATACATACATGCTATTTTTGTGGTATTTAAGCAAAACAAGGGGCAATTTCCACTGCCATTTTGCCCCCAATATCAGTAACAGCTTTTATTGCTTCTCAGAGAAGAAGCATCTTGCTGTTTCTGTGGTTTAGATCTTAGTCACCTGCTTGCTCAACTGATCCTTTTTCAGAAAGATACCATCCCCAAATTTCCTGATCTCCGTGTTTATTTATTTATGCACACAGAACTCGGGTATGGGCCAGAAGTGCAGGAGCGGTGACAGGATTCACCAGAGACAGAGTGGGGAGCAGAACAGGCAGATCAAGTGAAATCTGGAAAGGTACATGGGCAAAGCAAAAAAGCATCTGTTAAGTAGATGATGCACTTCATTCTAACGGAGCTTTCCTTCCCTGACCTCCTCCCCATGCTGAGGGGAGCAGCGGGTGAGACAGGAGAGGTCTGCTGTGCCACATGGGTCAGCTTCCTGGCTGGGTATTGAACTCAAGCCATTGCAGTGGGCCTTTCCAGTGGTAGCACTAGGAAAAGGGGGAAGGCGGCTCTCCTGCTCGCCTATGAGGCAGGTGTTTCTTTTCACAAGTCCTTTCCCTTTGCAAATAAGAGTGGCAGCTCTCAGCCCTCTTGTGTCCGTGCAGGTGCCTCTTTTATTTTCTCCTTTCCGTAATCAACCTGTCCTTTTAAAATGTGAAGAGAGAAGGCGTGAAGAGGTTGTTCAGCATGTCATGTGAACAAATTAGAAAAGCATTTTAGTTTCCAGATACCCTTGGTCTCTACAGTGGACATTATTCTGTTTAGACCCCAATCCAGATGGAAGTTCAGTTTATAATAAAAATGACCTCAAATCACTTAGGAAAGGATGGCTTTTTTAAATTTAATGGAGTAACTAGATAAGCACTTATAAAAAGATCATATTAGAGCCATACCTTAAGCCAAAATGCCAAATGAATCAGATTTAAATGCAGAAAACAAAACCCTAAAAGTGGCAGCTCTGATAGAGTCAAACAGATTGTATACCTATTTCAGCTTGGTAGCTGGTTTTTGAGTTGGGCTATTTTTTCATGTTGTGTAGTTCCTGTATTGCTAAAAGAGGGTGCTTTTTCATCCTTGTGAATGTTCAGCCTTTTGTTGAACTCTCTTCCTATGTAATTCCTCCCATTTTATGTGCCCCTGTGAGCTGATCTCCTTTTCATTTCACTCCTATAACTGGTGAGGTCAGGGAAGGAAAGCTCTGATAGAATGAAGTGCATCATCTACTTAACAGATGCTTTTTTGCCTTGATCTCGTTCCTCTCCAGATTTGTATGTGTGGTTGCTGAATTAACACCTCTGTCATGATGAAATCTTTTTAATCTGGCAATTGAAAATTGCCTTCTCTCCTGAAGCAGTGAATCATGAAGCTACTTGGGCAGTTTGTATGTGGGTGAGGCTCACCTACTCTGTAGGCTGGTGTTAGAGTGGCTGGACAGGGCGCCAGCTATTCCATTTGGATGGAGGGAGTAAGATCACTTGGTTTTTGTTTCCTCTGAACACCCCTCAGACTTCCAGCAGCTTAAAAGTTTCTTTTTTCTTTTTTTTTTTTTAAGATTCATGTATGCATTTTATGCATACAGAACTGGATAGGCCAGAGGTACAGGGGCAGTGAGAAGATTCACCAAAGACAGAGAGCGGGGAGCAGAACAAGCAGGCTGAGGAAGTACACTGCTGAGGGGAGCAGCGGGTTTATCAGGAGAGGTGGCTGTGCCATGTGGGTCACTGCCATGGCTGGGGACTGAACTTGCACTGGAGCAGCTTCCACGCGCTCGGCAGTGCTACACTTTAATCCTTGTGCCACCAGGGAGGGCACAACAAAGTTTATTTCAAGCTACATTTTCATCAAGGGGCCTGCTCATCATAGTTACTACAAGCTCCACACAGAAAGTGGTGCCATCTGGTGGGTCAGTGTTTTCAGGGCCAGGGAGACAAGATGTGGTGATCTGTGCATTGTTCCTAAAACTTCTGTTAAGTTCACATTTCCTTGATGTCAGAGAAGCCCTGTGGTCAGACCTCAGTGTAACAGGTTCATAATCTTCCTCTGGGACCCCAGGATGGAGTGACCTGTAATACCCTACAACAACAAAAAGACTCTGGAGAGAAATGCTGACATTTAGAGGAACATTGGGCAGAACTAGTTGGCTGTACACCTGGGTGGCAGATTGGCCAGATGCCAGGGAAGGGAAAGTCACTATTTCATTCATCAAAGGAACAGCAGTGAGCTGCCATTCACCAGGAACTGCTCTTGCAGGGCCTCCCTGGTGGCACAGGGGTTAAAGATGCAGTGATAACAAGCTACTGCTGCCACTGCAGTGTGAGTTTGATTCCTGTCTGGCCAGAGAGTGACCCACATGGCACAGCAGATCTCTCCTGCCTAACCCACTTAGCAATGTACTTTTTGTCAATTTGCCTGTTCTGCTCCCGATTCTGTCTCTGGTGAATCCTCTCACCTTCTGCACCTCTGGCTTACACTCCAGCTCTTGTATGCATAAATAAATCTTTAAAAAAATTCTTTCCTTCCTAGGAGTTGGGTAAGTAAAGTCTCATAAAGCTAGATTTTTAAAATTCAAGTGTGAATTAACAATGAATTCTCCTTCTCATTACCCTTCCAGAAAAATCACAGCTTTTGCAGTGAGAAAGTGAGGGTGACAACCAACTTACAGAAATGCCAGAAGATACGCCCCTCACCCCACACTTGCTGAACCCCGGGTGTCAGGACCAGTCTGTTCCTCTGATAATATGGAATTAACACCTTTCCTCTAACAACTGTTTCTGAGACTCAGAACACAGGCTCTTCCTGGTAGCCTGGCTTCTCTCCAGGGACAAGGCCTGGTGAATTCGGAAGAACAGATGGGGTCTACCTCAGAATGGATCTGAGTTCAGCCCTCTTGCTATAAAATGACTGTGGCATTTTTTAAAATAGGAAAGTAATGTCCATTCATCACAAAATCAAATAATTTATACCTACATAAAGACATGGAAGGCCTTCCTGTAAAATTTATTTTGTATCTTTGTCATGGGTTAACGGAACCACAGAAGAAAACAGCACTGTCTCTTTCAGACCCACGTTCTGGTCTTTCCCACCATCTCCACAGCTCTTCCTATGAAACCCTGTCCCCATGAAATATTATACTAGAGACCACCCAAGGGAGGAGTCTGAGACCTCAATTTTCTTTGCTAGAGCTAAACTGTCCTTTTAAAAAAAGATTTATTTATACATACAAGAAATGGGGTACATGCCAGAGGTGAAGGGTGGTGAGAGGATTCACCAGAGACAAAATGGGGAACAGAACAGGCAGATACTAGTGAGAGGAGCAGTGGGTGAGCAGAAGTGGGGCTGTGCCATGTGGGGCATATCCCTGGCCAGGGGATCAAACTTGTGCTGCAGTGGGTAGATAGATAGCTTCATAGTGCTGTGCTTAACCCATTGTGCCACCAGGGAGGCTCAGCTATAAATTACCTTGAAAATGTGAAAAATCTTAATTTTAAAAAATTTATTGAGGTCATCTGAAGTGATTGGAACTAGCGTCACGTTTATATAAGTGCATGAGTGAATTAATTTATAAATGGGATGAGAAATTTCATGCAGAATTCCAAATAATTTATGTAAGCTATTCTTCCCTCAGGGAGAGGGGTATAGTTCCCCATCTGTGTGGGCTGCACATGTTAACTTCCACCCAAAGGGTAATGTATGGAGATAGGAGAAAGAACCAGCCACCTCATAAGATGATGCTAACAACTCATTTTTTTTTTTTTAGATTTATTTATTAATGCATAGAAGAGCTGGGGTAAAGGTCAGAGTTGAGGGGGTGAGAAGATTCATCAGCGACTGAGTGGTGAGCAGAATAGACAGATTGACTGAAATCCACTGCTGAGGGGAGCAGTGGGTGGGTCGGGAGAGGTCTGTGGCACCATGTGGGCCAGCTCCCTGGCCAGGGATGGAACTCCACTGTCTACGTGGTAGTGCTGAGACTTAATGCCTTAAAATTAGTTTATCTGGGGTGAATTTGTATTGGTATTATTGTTTGCAGTCCTTAGCATTGCGTTTCTTCTCTCTCCACCCTCCCATCTCTGCCTTAGAGCACCACTGCACAATGTCCTTCCGCCACCAGTCTTTCTAGAGTCTCATTCCCCAACCTCTCTTCTCCGACCCCCTCCCCTCCACTCCCCTCCCCTCCAAAAGTGCCTTGCAGCTGCCCCTCACTCACTCTGGTAGCTTATGTCATCCAGGCTTTCACTCACATCTGCCCCAAATGGGACCTTCTGTATTCTTACCACAGCTCTGCTGTTACTCACACTCCCCAAGGTATCCATGTAGCTCACACACATGAACAGGGCCAAGTATAAGTCAAACCTGTGGGAATTTAGAAACTTACTTCCCAGGTATTGTGACTACTAGAAATAACAGTAAATAATTTGTACCACTAGGATGAAGTGTTTTTAGCCATGACCTGATAGCCAGCTCTCTTAAAATGAAATCTGAGTAAAATTAAAATTATTGTATAACATTAAGAAAAAAATGAGGTTTTACAAACAAGGAAAATATCTACCATTAAAGACAAAGTTTAATTTCCCTAAAATAGAAAGATAGCTAAAAATCATTAAGAATTGACAATCCAGTAGTAAAATGGGCAGGACCCCAAAAGAGAAAATACTAAAATCTAGTAAGCTGAAAGTCAGCCAAACCCCATTAAATACAAAACATAAGTACCTTTTGTTACTCAGAGGGACAGAGGCTTAACCACTGCTAACAGGTAGAGTTGGTAAGCAGGCAGGACAGTAGCTGTTCTGTACCTACAATGTTAATGTCCACTGGTAAAGCTTCTTGGCAGATTAGTTTGGTGATGTACTAGAAATTTAAATGTCCCCACTCTGCCCCAACAGCTCTGCTGTGGGAACACAGGACAGAGCAGGTCTCAGCAGAGCTGAGTGTAGGTTGCTCGGTGTCTGTGGGGCCTGGACAGGGCAGAGGACCTCCTCCCACAGCTGCCAGGTGAGTGCCGAGCAGCTCTGCACCAGACCCTGTCAGGAGGGAGGACGATGCATGTGTGCTGGACACGTCACAGATCCTGGAAATGCTGGTGAGTGAAAAAGCACGTTGAGTGACAATATAAAGAGACATCTGTACAGGATGTACATCTTTGCATGGTCTGAAACACGCAAAGAGAAGGGGAGGGAAAGCACTTATACTTTATAGATGCACACACCTTGTTTAATGAGCATATATTCATCTAGTAAGCAGAAAAATACAAGTAAAAACAAATCGTTAGTAAAATGTCTCATAATTACTTTTAAATTTTGTAACATAATGATAGGTAAAGCTCTAAGGTATCTGTCCCTGTTCATACTGATAAAGTATGGAAGAAGGTAGCCAACAGATCCTCTATTATGGATACACAGCGAGACCAGTTAGCACTTGGTCATTACTTCCTTTCCACAGACTGCTGTTTGCACCCAGGCAGCGACACTGTGGATGAGAACCCATTGACCCCGCCAGGCTGTGGCAGAATTGCGCCTAGTATATCCTGGTACCACGGAGCAGAATCCTCTCAATTCATCTTCTCTGGCCAGCCCCGTCTCTCTGAAGAGGCCAGGACTCACTGACTTCCATGTTTCTCCCCACATCTAATGCTCACCAGTGAGAAACAAGGAGATGTTCTGGCACAGAACAGGAAATGGGTCTTATGGAGTCAAGACAAGGAAGATCTCATGAGGGCAGGAAATCTTCACAAAGGGTCTCCATGGAGAGACAGAGAGTAGGCAGCCCACAGGCCTCAGCTGCTGCTCCCCATGCTCCCCTACACTGGGGACTCCTAGGCCTGTGGTACCGAGACCCCACCACAATAAATTCCCAACCTCTATCACTTCCTCAGGGTAGGAGTCTGGTTCCAACATCCCTAGCCAGATAACAGGCAGAGATGTGGGAACCAGCAACCAGATGACTAGAAAGATGGGGGAAACCTTGGCTTAAAAAGGACTCGATTTTCCAAAAGGCCTAATTATCATTCAACTTTCCTGATCACATACAAGTATGCATTTTGTATATGTCAAGTCCAAACGTAATTTAAGTGAGGTAGGTAGTTTCTCTCTACTCGTGCCTTCATCTTTGTGGTGACTGTCCAGGCCTGCGCCATGAAAGCACGAGTGTCCCGTGCAGGGGGCATCACGGGCGGGCACCAGCAATCAATCAGTGGGGAGTCTCAGTTGGCTATTTTCTCAATCTCGTCCAAGTCATCCGTGTCCAATCTTTCTATTTTCTTATCTGAGGAAAAAACGTTCAGAGAGAGATCAGCACGCGCTTACTGAGGAGACGCTGGCCTAGGGAAGGGGCAGCACAGCAGGCAGAGGACACACAGGTCTGTGGCCCCCGCCAGCCTTCACTTAGCCCACGGCTGCAGAGCCCGGGCCGGTCAGGGCTGCCGGCCCCTCAGCTGGCCCGGGCGGAACTGTCTTTCCAGGCCTGGCCCCGAACTCTCCAGTGCTCCAGGAGGCCCCCCACATTCTAGTGGCGGAGGGGAACGTGGGCAGGGACAAAGGCTCCCTCAGGAAAAGCCACAGGAAAACCCGCCCTTCTGCCCACCCAGCTGGACAGCCCCTGTGCGGAAAGGGACTCACTGAAATGCTCCTGGATTCTGTTCAGGATGTTCATGCTGTGCTTGCTGTCCACCATGTTCACGGCCAGGCCCCTCTTGCCAAAGCGGCCAGTGCGCCCGATCCGGTGCAGGTAGGTCTCGTTGTCCGGGTTGCCATCCTTGTCCACGGGGAGGTCAAAGTTGATGACGACAGACACCTGCTCCACGTCGATTCCTGCGGGAAGGGGAGTTGTGGGAGTGAGCAAGGCAAAGAGAGTCACAGCCGCCACGGCCAGACCACCGGGCCTGCTTTGAGCCTGGGATGGGTCAGCTCTGGGATCTGGGGACAAGTTGGCTAGCAGGACCCAAAGGAAAAAGTACAACTTTGGAAAATGCCATCAAAATCAGGGAGAGAGCCTCTGCTAGATACAGCCATCTGGAGAGGCGGCTCAAACCTCACCGGATGTCCCAGCCAGGCCAAGCGCCACTCTCAACCTGCCAGGAGCCCAGGGCTTCCATCCAGCAGGTCAAGAGCCCTGGCCTGGGGGTGGGGGACTTACCACCTGCTGAAGGGGCCAGTCTGTCCTGAAGAAGAGGCTCCCCACCCACCCCACCCCATCGCCCCAAAGCACCGGAGTCCTGGTGCAGGAGACTGCCCCCCTCCCCACAGCCCAGCAGGCGAGGACACAGTGCTCACCTCGGGCACACACGTTGGTGGTCACCAGAACCTTCTCCTTGCCCTCCCGGAAGCGCTCGATCACCGCAGCCCTCTGCTCCACCATCATTTCACCGCTCAGCAGAGCCACCTGGTGGCCTTCTTTTGAGAGCTCTGCTGCCAGCCAACTAGCTGTTTTGCGGGTCTGGTGTGAAAAGAACTGCTTTAGATGAAGACACCTGCACAAACGCGGCTTGTCGCCATTAAGAAGTATGGAAGCCCCCACTGACTGCAGTCCCCAGGGGAGGCCTGTCACTTCTCAAGCGGCATCTTGGCCACTTTTCACTGGCTCTATCTGAAGTTTCTCCCAGTGTGTCTAAGAAGTGGGACAAAGGAGACTGGGTTCTTCCGGCTAACACAGCTGGGGAGCATATGCCTGGGGTAGGTGCAGGTGATCCCCCATTTCCTCTGTGCCACACAGAGGGCACCTGTCTTGCTCAGCTCTGCGGGGAGCTGGTTCAGAGGCGTGGCGGGATGACCAACCCCCACAGGCCTCAGCTGCTGCTCTACTCACGTGGCAGAAGATCATGGCTTGAGCGATGGTGATGGCCCCGTACAGGTTACACAGGGCCTGGAACTTCTCGTCTCTGTTATTGCACAGGACGTAGTACTGCTTGATGGTGTCCAACGTCTCTTCCTCGCGCTTCAGTTTGATGATGTTTGGTTCTGGGACTACTTTCTGGGCAAATTTCCACACAGAGTCTTCAAAGGTGGCAGAGAAAAGCAGCATCTGGCAGTTCTGGGGCAACATCCTGCAAGAGAAGCCCGCGTAGGGGACGTGACCCTCAGTTTTCTGTGGAAGGAGCAGAGGCACAGCCCCCCACCCTCACCCCCCGGGAGTGGACGGTAGGCATCCCAGGGAGGTGGCAAAGTGGGGGACAAAAACACTGCAGGGGCTGGGGAGGAGCAGATGGGCACAGGGGACGGGGGTGTGGATTCCCTGTCTGCTTCCTCAAGCCAGCCCACCGAACAAATGCTTCTGAAGCCTCAGGGGGACTGAACCAGCCGGAGAGCGGGGGGAGCTGGGTGTAGCAGGAAGACTCGGGACAGAGCTCTGTGTGCCATCAGGAGGCTGAGAAGCCCTTTCTGGCTGAAGAGTTCCTACCTCTGGATGCGGATGCTCTGGTCTTGGTGGCCCTGGGTAGCAATCATCACGTCAGCCTCATCCAGAACAAACACCTTGATCTTCTTGGGGTCAATGAACTTGAGCTTGGAGCACCAGTCCAAGACGGTCCCAGGGGTGCCAATGACAATCTGCTCACTGATCTTCTGACCTCTTTCCACTGTGGAGATGAGATGTTTTCCGTGATCATTTCTATCACAAAACCAACTCTGGAAATCAAAACCTTGCCCACACACTTCAGAGCAAATACAACAAGGTAATTTCAGATTTCAACAGGCACCAATGTTTTCCCCAAATATAAGGTTCTTCTATAGAGTGGGCATACATATACCAATCTCATTTCACTTCTCAGTGTTTCCCCTCAGCGGTGTGTTTCAATAGATCTGCCAGTTCTGCTCCCTACTCGGTCTCTGATGAATCCTCTCACTTCCCCCACACCTCTGGCCTATACTGCAGTTCTTGTATGCATAAGTAAATCTTTTTTATTTATTATTTGTACATACAGAACTAGGGTACAAGCCAGAGGTGCGGGTGGGAATGAGAGGATTCACCAGACAGAGAGAGCAGAACAGACAGACTGACTGAAATACACTGCTGAGGGGTCAGCAGGGGGGGTCAGGAGAAATCTGCCATGACATATGGGTCTCCCTACTGGCTGGGGGTTGAGCTCATGCTGCAGTGGCTGCAACAGCTTTATAGTGCTGTGTTTTAACTCACTGCACCACCAGGGAGGGCCCTGCATAAAAAAAAAAAAAAAGATTTACTAAAAGCATTCCAGATGGATTCTAAGGTCAGAGTTAACATGAAAGCTTAAAATCATCATATCTTTAAATACAAACACCCAGTCACCCTCACTGCTCAGGTCTCACTATTTATACTCACACTTATTGCCTCGGACAGCATAAGCAAGCTTTAGCTCTGGATGAAATTTGCCCATCTGTTCAATCACTTTTCCTGTTTGAAGTGACAGCTCATATGTTGGGGAGAGGCACAAACACTGTTTGGGAGATTACAAGGACAAAAGTTAGGAGAGCCTTTTGGTAGTAAAAGGTGCTAGAGCAGAAAGGCATTATGGGCAGACAGCAAAACCTCTTATACCAGGGCTCTTTCACTGCAGCTCTTTTCACTGTAGCCACCAAGCCAGTACGCGGCTCTGGTTTGGTGGATGTCTCTGGCCTTAGCCACAGCCTCAGGCTGCCGCTTCTGGCAAACTGACCTGCTTTTACTGAGCCACTTGCAGAGGAGGCAGAAACCTTCAGAACCCTCCAGAGGCATCTTCATTAACCCCCCACCAGATGGCATTGCTGTTCTTGGGCAAGCAAGGCAGGTCCCCAACCCTCACCTGGGGGTACCTCTCTGCTGGTTCCACTCGGCTGAGCATGGCCAGGACAAAGGCAGCTGTTTTACCAGTACCAGACTGAGACTGAGCGATCAGGTTCTGTGGGCTAAGTCAACGAAAGAACACAGAGGAAGATTAATATTTGTTAAACTCAAGTGTCAAATTGTTCTTTCTAGGTCGTAGGAACAGGGATCTTCTCACTTCCTGTTTTAATTATCCAGGTTTTCTGGACTGAGCATAAGAATGCATTATGTATGTGTTGTTACAAGTGCTTAAATATTAGGGGACATAATGACTCCTTCTGGTGGCTTCACACCAGAAAATCCTCATTCTAGATTCTAGCACAGTTTAAGAGTGCCCTAGTTTTGTACCCCAAGGGCTCCATGGAAATTAAGACTGCAGAGTGAGAGCTATGCCAGGACGATGCCCTGAGGACATTATCTGCTGGGCCACAGCGTGTCTCCAGGACTCAACTCCTTATGTATATTCTCCCTCTCTTTAGGGAAAATGCTTGATAGCAAATCAGACAGATGCTTTAGAGGGGACTTTGAAATAAAATCTACCTTATTCACATCACGTAACTCTGTCAAGAAATAGTTGGCATTTCCTCCCTGGTGGCGCACTGGGTTAGGATGCAGCACTGCAAGCTGGCCACAGCTGCTTCAGTGTAAGGTGCCCCACATGGCATAGCAGACCTCTCCTGACCCGCCTGCTGTTCTCCTCAGCAGTGTACTTCGTCAATCTGCCTGTTCTGCTCCCCCACTGTCTCTGGTGAAGCCTCTCACCGCCCCTGCACCTCAGCTTGTACCCCAGTTCTGTATGCACAAATACTTAAAAAATGACTTCAAAAAATAAAAGAAATAGGTGGCATTTGGTTTAAAGAAAAATAACAAGTGAACAAGGTAAATTGCTACATTAAGTATGATACCATTTATATAAAGCTAAAATATGTGAACTACTCAGATTCCTAGGGACACAGCTGTAGTAGAAGCAGACATGTGAGAGGATCGCGGTCCATTTCAGAGTGATGCTTGCTTCAGTGGGGGAACAGGCCACAAAGAGAGAGGGATACACAGGGCTTCCAATCGCAAACGAGATTAATGCTGGCTTATTTCTTAGTATACTAGGGTTAAAGAGATGGTTGCTGGTATTGCTCTTGATGCATTCTTGAGATCTTCAAGAATTTTATCTTTAAAAATAATTTTTAAGGCCCTCCCTGGTGGCGCAGCGGGTTAAAGCACAGCACTGAGAATCTGAAGCCACTTCCGCATGAGTTCGATTCCCGCCT